CAGTTTTTCCTCCTTTCCTGATTAATTTAATCAATTTAATGTTTTTATTTTACTCATAGAAGTTATGTTTTTCTGGGGGTTCAGCATCATGTTTTATTACTGAGCTCTGTTGTGGTTTGTTATTCATAAAATAAAAGAATGAATTAAATTATAAAATTATTAATTAAATAATAATTAATAAACAGAGGCACAGCACAAGGCCTCGCCGCACCACCACTCCGAACCCCCACATGATGTACCGCCTCAGCATAAGACACCCTATGCTCAGCCTGAACCTCCTTCACATTCACCGCCATCCTGTACGCCACACACCCTCTATAAGCCATTATGGTTCCCACCACAGTTGCAACAGCAGAGCGGAAGATCACAACTCTTACCCTCATGATCACCCCCACACCTCCGACACCTCACCCCCACCACACAGGCACCAGCCACGTGACCAAAGCCCTGGCATCTAAAGCACTGCAAAGGAGGCTCTTTATATGCCCTGACCAAGAAACTAAGGTAGCCCAACTTGACACAAGTACGGAGCTCTTCCGCATCGAATGTAATCACTAGCGGAGTGGACCCATGTGCATCAGACCCTAGCCGTCGAACTACCACCACCGTCGCACCACACATAGAGCCAAACACCTCTGACTCTGAAATGTCATTCGAAACGCCGTACACCACCCCCTTAACCAAGCAACCAGAACGCGACTCAGAAACCTCCACCCCCAGAAATTTCTCAAGCCACAACACCTTGAGGCACTGGGCCTTCATCCGACACAACAAACTCAACAGCACAACTATAACGTCAATCACACCCCCTATTGCCGCACACAGCTCCCTGGACACCGCTAACGGGTTCGAGGTGGCAAAACGTGCCGTACCTGCTGCTCTGATATGGACCACAAAGCCACCCTCTTCAAGCCTCTGTTACTTCAGCTGCGCATCTCCATCACAATCCAATGCATCACTGCTACTCCCACGATCTCTCTTTGCAGCCCCCGCCGACTGAAATGCTGCTCCAGTCCTACTCGCCCCATTCCTCCCCATCGTCTGTCACAAATGAGGCTGAACCAAGGCAAAGCCGGGCCGCTGTCTTACGGGGCCTGTACCGGCCGTCGGCCGACCACCCGAACAACCACATAAGCCAACCCAAACTGAACAGCAACCCTGTGAACTCTCAGGTCCTGTCCCAAAGCTCAACCGCTCTGTGTCCTACTTCGCCGGCTGTGGCTGCTCAAACCCTCCTTCCCTATACCAATAAGGATGTATTTAATTAAAAAATACAATGTGCTTTGTATGTGATTATCAGTCATGTTTGTAACTGTAACAATGATGCTACTGTCAAACTGATCAAAACACTGACAGAATCCATGGATGGCAGGCTTTTGAGTGTCCTTGCAAAGAAAGGTGGCTATATTGGTCGCTGATTTGTTTTTGTTTTGTTTTTGAATGTCAGAAATGTATATTTGGGAATGTGGAGATGTTATATTGGTTTCACTGGTAAAAATAAATAATTGAAATGGGTATATATTTGTTTTTTGTTAAGTTGCCTAATAATTGTGCACGTTAATAGTCACCTGCACACACATATATCCCCCTAAAATAGCTAAAACTAAAAACAAACCACTTCCAAAAACATTCAGCTTTGATATTAATGAGTTTTTTGGGTTCATTGAGAACATGGTTGTTGTTCAATAATAAAATTATTCGTCAAAAATACAACTTGCCTAATAATTCTGCACTCCCTATATTCTATTTGAATTCAGCTTGAACAAGCAAACAGCAAAAGCTTTAATACCATTAGTTCCTCTCCAGTTACCACAGCTTAACTTAGGCTCTTTGGACCTTCTACAGTAGCTCTGAGTAACTTCAGCTCAAATTATTTTAAACCATCAACTGATTATATAAACACTGACAAGTCCAGCATAATAAATGAGCATCTTAGGTGTATTCTTGCTGTGTCGTGGTTCTAATTCCATGCTTTCGTTCTTTTTAAACACAGAAACAGTTTTGTTTACCTGCTTTGTAGCTACAGTTTCACCGACGGCTGCCGGCTTCTTCAGGCTGACGCTGATGGTGGCGCGTCACTTCCTTCTCCGTTTATCTGCGGGCAGCAGAGGACGTTGTCGCCCTCTACTGCCCGCTCTCCCCTCTCCGACGATGCAGTCGATGCAGTTCAGTAATCAGAACATTATATCACCGAGCAAACATAATAACAGAAGAGAGAGACCGTAAACAAGAAGACAAACACATACAACATGCTTTAAAGATCTGCAGATACCCGACATGGGCAATAAACAAAGGAAAACGACAAACAGAAACAGAAAGCAAAGAACAACCCAAAAAAAGAACCAGAAACCCAGAAAGACAAGAACCAAAACCAGTGATAACCCTACCATACATCAGAGGCATAACGGAAAAAATAAGAGCAACAATGAAAAAACACAACATAAACACACCAACAAAGCCATACACAACAGTTAGAAACAGAGTAGTGCACCCAAAAGACAAAATATCAGCTGGACAAAAATGTGGAGTCATTTATGAAATCCCCTGCAAACTCTGCAATAAAACATACATAGGAGAAACCGGACGCCAACTCAACACACGAACAATAGAACACAGAAAGGAGTGTGAGAAAGAGGCAAATCGAAAACACACAAGAGCAGCAAAAGAAGAAGCAGAAAGTACAATAAAAAAGTCAGCCGTAACAGATCACTGCTTAAGAGAAAACCATATAATGGACTGGGACAGCACAAGGATCATAACCACAGAACAACAAAAATACAAAAGATGGATCAAGGAAGCAATCGAGATAAGGAGACGTGGATGTGGGACCATGAACAGGGACAACGGAGTTTACACGCTGGACCACGCATGGGACTGCATCGTCGGAGAGCGGGCAGTAGAGGGCGACAGCGTCCTCTGCTGCCCGCAGATAAACGGAGAAGGAAGTGACGCGCCACCATCAGCGTCAGCCTGAAGAAGCCGGCAGCCGTCGGCGAAACTGTAGCTACAAAACAGGTAAACAAAACTGTTTCTGTGTTTAAAAAGAACGAAAGCATGGAATAATAAATGAGGGTTTAAGCAGCTTTTCAAAGTTTTCATTATATATTTGCACTGAATTTCCACAACAGAATGATAATACAAGTACCAGTAACATTTTTAGATCTATTTATGTTTATTTTCCACTAATTTCAACATCTCATTGAAAACTTATCAATACCAATTTTTTTCTTAATTTCAAATATCTTAGATAATACAGTTTGTAGGGAAGATGTGCTTCCCACTGTCTTTATGGGTGACCCCGCGAGGAAAGTTGACCATTGAGCAGGATTGATGGTTTATCCCTTGAGGTCCACGTGGCAGGGGTGAGGTGGTGCTCACTCCTCACCCCTGCCACATGGACCCAAGGGAGAAATTGAACCCAAAGAAGATGCCTGCAAATTGTGACACTGCAACTGTCTTTTTACGTGTTAATACGTTTAATTGGTAGGGATGATGAATTAACTGCCACTGAAAACCTACAGGTTGTAGTTTTAACAGTAACGGCTATTTAAATATCGGCAGAAAAGCTCTATACTTTTGTGACATTTTGTACAACTTTGCCTTAACCAGACACCTTTACCTACATTCTTTATGACAAGGTGTGGAATAGTCGGTAAAGCTAATTTTAGCCAATGGCAGCTGGGATGGATTACTGAGAGGCTTGAAGGCGACACGATATCTGAGAGGGAAATTACTTCAGCTTAATGAAGTACATAACTCACTGTTCACATGCTACCCAGTCCGGGGCACACACTTTCAGTCTGTGAGGACAGTTTAGAGGGCACTACACAAACCTGTAGAGGCCAGCAGTTAATTTTTCTAGTACTCTCCTCCAGTGGGACTTTATTCCATTTTGACTAAATTTAAAAGATAAAAATTTTGTTTTAGAATTACTATTAATACCTATCCAATTATTTTAAATGTAATGAATTTGGTTAATCTGTTCTAATATAGAAAATACTTGATTTTGCCATTAAAGTCGGCATGAATTCTGGAATGCTGAGATGAGAATGAACTCACAAATGTAAAGGTGATGTTTCAGACTCAATACCAGGGAGCACTTTACCATTATAAATGCATTCTAAAAGTAAAGTTGTTGAATACATTTACTTTTCCAGCATATCGATTACTAGACGTTTAGCCAGTTTAAAGTATTATAGTTACGTTGCAATAGTGCTTTTTAACACTTTTGCTTTTGAACACAACTAAGAATTTTCATTTTCATCCTGAAAACAAGAATCTCAACCAGTTTACACTCCTGAAAAATATATGCCACACAAATAAATAAGAAAAATACAAAACAAGAAAACAAAGTGTTTGGAAAAGTGTATGTAGAAGTACAAACTACAATATCAAATGTGGCTAATTTAAAAAAAACAATTCAAATGTGAAAATGCATTTTATGTGTTCTTAAATAGTTATTTAATCGATGGCCAGAGTTTCTATTACAACTGCTTCCTGTTTGATAGCCGCAGTCAGCTTTTGTTATTTTAAGCAGGTGATGGATAATTTCCTACCTTTCCCAAGGCTCTAAATGCTCTAAAATCCTTTTGACAAAGGCATTTGTGGCATCAAAGGCATCTTGGACAAAATAAACCCACAAAGAATGTTTTATCAGAGCACCAAAAAAGGGTTAGTGTAGTTTTTCACAGGGTTAACCATCTCCAAATGGTTGGGGTGGCAGATTAGAAGTGAAGGGCGTGCTCCTGGGCGAGAGAGGGAAAAGTGGATGAGAGAGAGCCGCCCTAATGCGGCGTCTCATTACAACCTCTGTCAGGATCCCTCTATTCTACCATCATCTCCCCTTAACTTGGTAAAAGCCCAACTGTCGTTTCGAGTGAGTGTGCCGCCAAGGAGGCATTTACAAATAAATGAAAAATGTCAGATTTGATTTCACTCTTCTCAGTCTGCGGCGCCTCAGCTTTGTCACAAACTGTCTTTGTTGTTCTGGTGTCTTGCAGGTCCACCTCCCGGTCGCCGTGGATAGATTCTGGCAGGTTCAGGCCCTCCACTTCCCTCCCAGGGTAAGCTTGCAGACAATGACCTTCCCTTAATGTCTGAAACACAAATCCTTCTGTTTTTTTTTTCTTTCTTCTATCCTGTTACGCTCCCCTTATTCTTGTCCTTGAATTGCATTTGAGTGAGTAGGAAGTTGAAGTAGGTTGGTGGGAAAATATTGAGCTGGTAAAATGGCGTAGCGTTTTGTTGAAAGGAAGTAAGCGTGGTTTCGTCTTTAACCCTTGGCTTTGTGTTTTGCTTAAATACCCTTGCAAGAAATTAAAGACACACTGCACGTCTTTGCCTATCTGCACTTTCTCAGTCTTTTGTCATTTTTGGAACCAGTGTCGCGTAGAACAATGTTCGCCATCAGGAATTCTAAATTTGATACACAGTGCTTTGTATTGGCTTTGTTGGGTGGGAAAATATCGGAACACTGTCGTTTTTGCTGCGGAGCAGTTTTCGTTGTGTTTGTTTTTTAATATTAATTCTATCAGTATTTTTCTTGCAGAACCATTAACGGGGGAAAAAATTATCGTATAGCATGAGCAAATGGTTTCGCTAAATGATATTTGAATATTCCTTCTGCATTGATGGGCTCATGTGCAACTAACAGATTTGTAACTCAGATTCATTTTTAACCCTTCAACAAACTATATCCTTGTTCTGCAGTTTGTGATTGTGGGTTATGAAGCCAGCTATCACACATCTGACTTATCAGAATGTAAACAGTTATCGTTTATACTGGACATATGAGCTCAGAGACAGGGCTTTGGTAAAGTTTTGACTGAAAACTGTTTTATTTAGTAGCTATTTACAGTAAAACAAAAGTCTTCAGCGACAGCATGCTTAATGTGCTGTTGCTACATACACTAGCAGCAGATTAACATCAAATGATCAGTCTTCTTTGAAATTCTGTTCTTGTGAACATGGCAGTCTGTATGTTCTTGTTCAATAGCATGCTAAATACGCAACACAACAGGCAGTGTAGGGCAGCCAAACATTTTTCATTTAGCATCATTTAACAGCACACGACCAGAGAAGGTGCCTCAGAAGAGCCTACATTTACCAAAGATTAACATTCAAACGCTGATTATATGTAGAAAGTGAACATTTGTCCAAACACTTGAACTCTTATAAGTTTGTATGACACATTTTTCTGTTTCCTTTGCTGCACCAATAATCGAAAACTAGTAAAAAATAGTTTTTACTCACCTCCTTATCCACCTAAACAGCTCCGTAAACTGTTGGTGTATATTCCAGTAAAGTACTGGTACTTCTCGTGTTTTTATGGAGTACAAATGCCCCATGCAAGCTTTTTGGAATGGGCTGTTAAGCTTCTTTAGTAACATTTTAAAGACTGTGGGTAGTGGGTGTGATGCTGTAAGGAGGGTGAGATGGACAGCCTGTTTGAAGATTCAAAAGGCAGCATGACTCTGCATTTAAAACATGTTAATGATGCACCAAAAAGGTAGTGGACTACAGCCAGCTGCTTTCTTAGACTAGACCTGTCTATGTGCATGGATTTGCAATAAAGTACTTTAAATGCTTTTTTCTTTTCTTTTTTCTCTTATTTGCCTTTTTGATGTTGCATTTAAACTTCCATGTGAAAAAAGGAAAACAACCAACAAACCATAAATGTTTATTTAACCTATAACAGAAATATAACAGCAGAAACTTGTTGATGTTTAATGGAGGGCTTAATATGACAATCAGGCATTACACATTAAGGGATTAGCACACAAACCCAATTATTTGCAGGTTCCTGTTAAATCGTTCCTTGCAACAGTAAGAGTTCCATTCTAGCTTTGAAGGTATTTCAGAGGCATTGAGAATGAGATTTTATAGGCTTATGGTCAGTGGGAGGCTCATGAACCAAATGGCCCAATGAGTTTTTTTAGACAAATTTGAAAGAACCAATTTATTTATTTTACCTTTTTTTTATCTCCACAATAAACTGTGTTAGAAGTGACATGAAAAAATGTGTAAATTTTATTTGTTTTCCAAATGTGCTATTGCAGCTTTAAAATGCTAAAGCCAAACTACAGTTTATTTGAAATATTTAGTAATAAAGACTAATATTGATTTTTCCCAACACCGATATTGACAACTGCCATGGCAAAGCATAAGCCATAAATGCAGTTTTCCAAAGACAGACCATGTCTTGAACCTGAGTATATAATTTCCATAGCAAGTCTTTGTTACTAATCCACGTGTAACAACCAGCACATTGCTGAGGCTGTGAGACATTAGTGAACAGTGCACCTTTCCTTGCGTTGTTTTCTGTGTGGTATTGAAGGCTGACAAACACCAGCCCAAGACTTAGGCATAGATGTACTTTGAACTATTTATGCTTTCTCCATTTTTGTACATTATTTGCATCCACTACTAGCACTTTAGCATAATCAGATTCATCAAGAAAGTAGATCTACTATGGAGTTGATTCAAACATACCCATAAAAATCTAAATGTCAAAGCAATTTCCCACCGTTTGTGGTTTCAGATAGCAGGTTTCCTTGCTGCACAATGTATCCAAGGAATTCTGTTACAAATAGTACAAGTGTAAATAAAAAAAAAGAAAATGATTATGTCACAATGCTCTTGGCAACTGAAAGGAACTTCTGACAGTAGAAGATAATATATTACTTTTTAAAATAAACGTACTGTGATACTGGCATCAGTGAGTCAAAAAGTAAACTATATTTGGCTTTCAGCACTGTAATATATTTTATTCTCATAGAAATAAAGAAATTACTTGGTTACAATTTTTCATATATATTTGTTGTGTTAATTTCTGGACATGCGGAGTGTTTTGCAATGCAAACCTTGCTGTGATCATTTTTGTGGTACCTGCAAAACAAATTAATGAGTTTCATTACTTTGGAGACTGTTATTCTTTTGGAGTGGTCTTAGCCTCACCCTTTGAGTCTGTTTCCCTTAGCTTCCAGAGGTCAACTTGCACACCTGTCTTGTTCACCGGTTCCCTCTCTATAATCCCCTTCATTGTTTTAAGTGTAGGTAAGATGCAGGCAGGTTAGGGGGTTCCCTGAAGCAAGGAACCAAAAATGGTCAATGAACAGGTTGGACAACAGCTGGATGGAAATAGGTTTTAAAAAAACAAAAGATAGAAACCAATGACTGAAAATATAGGGAGCAATTTTTCACTGCTTCTGTTGACTCTGCATTAGTGTTAGAGCTCCAGAGTTTGCATTCTTTTATTTTGATGTAAACATCTTTACATTGAACTCGAACTTGAACTTTATTTATATAGCACCTCACAGAAGACATTACATGCCACCAAAGTGCTTCACAGACACAGATAAAAACACAACACATGAAATCCACTAAAAATGAATAAAACACAACCAAATAAAACATTTTTAAATGAGACTAAAAAAGCAACACAGTCAATCACTCATACACATTTAAAAGCCAGTTCATAAAAATGGGTCTTCAGCTTTGATTTAAAAACTGGTACAGAAGAGGACTGCCGAATGTGTAATGGAAGCTCATTCAATAGTTTTGGAGCTGTAACTGAAAAGGCTCCGTCATCTTCAGCTGTGACCGGGGGACCACGAGCAAGGAGAAGTCCTCTGAACGAAATGCCCGAGAGGGAACATACGAGTGCGGTGTGTCTGTCAGATATGCTGGAGCCAAACCATTTAGAGCTTTAAAAACCAGTAAAAAGAACTTTAAACTGAATCCTAAAAGAAACAGGTAGCCAATGTAGAGCTGCCAATATGGTCATAGCATAAAATCTCCCAGCAGCATTTTGGACAAGTTGCAAACGGGCTAAGGCACCATGGCTCACTATGAGCAGGATGAAGTTGCAATAGTCCAGGCGTGAAGTTATAAACGCATGCACAACAGTTTCAAGATCACATCTGGACAACAAAGGTTTAACCTTGGCCAAGCATCTTAAATGGTAAAAGGAGGAAGCTACCACCCTATTTATATGGCCCCTGAAGTCTTTTTCTATCTGCACTCCCAAATTAACAACATTGAGTTTAAAACAGTATGACTGCATTTTTTTGGTTTTTAATTTTGATAGTCTAATTTTTCCAATGACAAAGGGCAGTGTTTTGCTCTGGCCTGGAAAAGAGCTGGTGCACTGGCTTCTTTGTGATTGAGTCAGGCTTTCAGCAGTTGAAGAAGAGCTAAACAGACCTTTGTCATATTTAAATATAGGAGCTGATATGTTAGGGTTGGGGTTAGTTTAATACTAAAGGTAAACAGTTATAGCAAACTAAACTGTCAAATTGTGCCTTTGATGGATTTTAAAACAGAATATTATACATTTCAAAGAAAACATGCAGATTTACAGCTCTTGAAAAAGCTAGCTGCTTGCTAGTGGTTACCTTTATGTTACACCCTGGAGGCAGTTTGTCCTCTTATTTTATTTTTTGTACCTTTTTTTAATTCAATTTTTAGCTCTCGTACTTGGTCTCTTCTTGACATTGCATCCTACAATGACACATAACTCAGTAGCTCACCTGCGATCCGTGACAGCTGAGCCCCTGGCCTGGTGCAGTGCTGTCACTCAGCTAGCTAACCGCCATTAAACAGCATGACCCTGCCGGCCCATTAGGTTTGAGTCAGATGGGAGTGTCAAACCATTCCCCCGCACATAGCTGCTTGGCCCTGCTGTGCTCATGTGGTCATGGTGGAGTTTATCAGTAAGCCCTATAGTCTTTATACTTATAATACATGTTTTGGTAGCCATCGATAAAACACATGAGATTAATCAAATAAAATTGTTTTAATGGAAATTGTGTGTTATCGGGCATGCTTTACATCTAGCTTTTGTGACATTATTAGGTGTGTGTGTGTGTGTGTGTGTGTGTGTGAGAGAGAGAGAGAGAGAGAGAGAGCGAGAGAGAGAGAGAGAGAGAGAGAGAGAGAGAGAGAGAGAGAGAGAGAGAGAGAGAGAGAGAGAGAGAGAGAGAGAGAGAGAATATTGCACCAGTAAAAGTTGGAGTGATGCAAAGAGATTTATGCAGGCTTCTGTGTAATTTATGCTTCTATCCAGACATCATTTAATAGGTGTTGCTTATTTCAGCAAAGCACTCCAATAAAACACACCTCAATTATTCTGATTAGTTTCTTCTATATAGAATTATCTAAACCCTCACATAAAAATATGTTTCAATACACCTGATAAAGAAAAAATGTGATAAAATGTGAAGCCCTGTTACCAGTTTTCTATAAATTATTAAGTGAAAAGCTTTCATAATCGTGCATCACACATTGTTGCTGCCCAAATGAGATGGAACACACTTTGGATAATGACTGTCACTGACATGCTTTGGGAGCTGCATCACAAAAAGGCGGGCTGTGGACCAATGCTGATTTTTTTTGTGAGGACACATCTCTTAGATGCACTTTCTTTGGTTAGTTAATAGGGATGAGCGAGTACACCACTATCTGTATCTGATCAACCAACTAAATTATCTGTATCTGTACTCGGAATGGGCGTGGCATAACACGGAAGTGGGCGTGATTTAACCGGAAGTGGGTGTGGTTTACATCAATATATTATTTTAAGTCTGAAATTGATATGGATTGATTAGAAGTTGCTATGTGTATTGTTTATTTGAAAACTATTTACAGAGCAACCTCAGAATTGAGATTAAATATTTTTGATCACAATAGTAAAGGAACTATTTCAGAACAAGTGTTTCAAAAAAATCAGAACATTAATATTTAAGTGCATGAATTAATACATCTGAACTCATGCAGTAGGAACTAGGAAATATGAAATGCTAGAACCAGACACAACTTTATATATATATTTTTTATTTTAATTTGATTAAACTGATTTTTTTCCTTAACATTCTTGGCATTTTGCCCCACACAAAGTTAAACTTATGGATTGAGGTGTGTGTGTCTGTGAGAGATAGAGAGGGTGAGAGGGAAAGAGAGGGAGTAAAAAAAAAAAACGACCGGAGCGGAGGTGACTGATGCAGCACGTCAGCTCTGTCTTGTCAAATGCACCAGGTAAGTTACGAAAAAAGTAGCTGTAAATATTCAACCGAAAAAGAGGCGAGCTGAAGAAAACCTAGGGAACACTGAAGAAACGTGAGCAACAGTGAAGCAATCACAGCGAGATCCGTTACTGTCTGTGTGTGTGCGCGTGGATGAGCCGGACAGACTGCGCTCCCGGCCGGCTAGAGAGTTTTATGTGTAGGGAGGGGCGGGTGCTCTATGTGACTGGCCAATCACAGAGTGTGAAGACAGTCAGTTACCCAGTGAGGATTTTCTTTTAGCACGATTACAGATATTTACGAGTTTTACTCGTGTCATGCTCGTACTCGTCAAAAATGCTTTATCCGTAAAGGATACTCGTCTGAAACGAGTATCTGGCTCATCCCTATTAGTTAACATTTTTCACCTTTACTATGCAACTTAAATGTTAGGCGATATTTTTTCACTTCAGATATTTGATGCAAATTGAGCATGTGCACTTTGGAAACATGGAGAATGACAGATGATGGACCTCCTATCCTAGATTCAACAAATTGTCCTACAAATATTGTTATAATAAAGCTTGTTGTCTTCTTCACCCTGAACCCATTTAATTCTTTGATTAGTGATACCTTTATTGACAGACTGTTGCTTAACCACAGTGGGGGCTCACTTCAGCTTATTTGTTCACAGCTGTGTTTACTGTAGCATTTATGAGTATGTAAATTAGCTGATCCACATTCATTACAACCAATTACTCTCTCACTGGGTGGTAATTTGTATTGTTGATGAGATGTCACC